AACTTCATCAATACATTCAAACTCATTTAAATCTTCAAAACCTCTCACTGTAGCAACAGGAACTGATCAATTGAATAACTCCGAACGACTAAAAGTTTGAGGTAGTCTGTTATGAAAGCTATAGTAAAACAATTTCTTATGGGGAATGTTTGAAAAATAGTATGACTTTCTCAACCAAAACCAATTCAACCACTCCGATTCGAATTTCCTAATCTTCGTACTCACGGTAAGAGCCAGCACATGAATATGGTGTAAGGAGCTCTTTATCGTGTAAGCCAACCTTTAGCAGGGTTGCAAAATCTGTTTTGTGTTATATAGATGCTGCCGACAGTATCGTGGTAATCCAATTGATTGCTGTCTTCCATTATTTGCACATGCACGAACTAACCAGTTTTGTTTTGGCACTTCAGCATGTAAGCAGAAGCGAGCTAAGAGTTTAAAAATACCTGAATGAAGTAAATAGCAAATATTGCAGATTTTTCATATTTAATATACTGGGCATTAAGGCCACAAAAACATTAATAAAAACGTATTTATTTATTATTCTGCGACATAAATATTGATCCATAATTGTGAACTACTCTGTAATCTAACTGTTAAATAGTTAGTTTGAAAGACAAACTATACATTAGAAATCTATTTCCAATGTTTACTTTGAAGAAAAAAGCATTAATTAAGTGGAATTTAGATTTCATTTTATAAAGTAGTTAGACAAATCAAAAGTAATTGTAAACTGAGAGACATTATTTCTTTACACACTGTTAGAATTTTGATTCTAAAATTACGGTAAAATAGCCGACAGGAGTCTTTCCATCCAATATACCGTACAGTTTAAAGTAACTTCATTAACATTTTTTACCTTTACGGTTTTGAAACCGTTTACAATTAGTATAATTTTAAAGAAAACATAAATGCAAAACTATATGGTTTTTTTGAAAAATTTACAACTAGCATAGTTTCAAGACAGTAAAAAAAAATTAACTGTGCTAGGCTGGACTTTTCGTTAGGTAATGGGCATTGAACTTAGGGTAGTGGTTGACTTTTGTTTCATCAAATGAACTTCTGAATGTGGTTTAATTAGTTTATCTGGTTTTTTCGCCTATTGTAAGAGTTAGGAAAAACTAATTTTTTTTGTGCATTCAGAAACTTATTGGTGGTGATATCTATGCGTGAATGAAGGCATGGTATTTTAATAGCCAAGGGTCTCTAGCTGGGAAGAGCAAGATACTGGAAACTCTCCATGTGTTGAAGGGAATGAAGGAAACATTGTAGCGTCAACGTTGGTACTTGAACCCCTGTTCGGTCGGCAATGAGATTGATAAATTAGTATATATATATATATNTATATATATATATATCAGCTTTTTAAGATAAAAGTTTATAAGACCTCCTATGCTGGGAGATTCAAGCAATAAGCACTAATGAGTTAAATACAATGTATGAAAAAAGGCTTCTTAAAAAAATCTATAACGACAACTGTTATACTGAGAGATTCAGGTCGTTGGCACTAAAGAGTTAAATGCAATGTATGAATAGCGGCTTCTTAAAATCTACGTATTAGCAACTCTTATGCTAAGTGATTCAGGTTATTGAGACTAATGAGTTAAACGCAATATATGAATAGCGACTCCTTAAAAAGTAAGTAATGACAAAATAACTCTTCTACTGGGTGATTCAGGTAATTAACACTAATGAGTTAAATGCAATGCATGAATAACGGCTTCTTCAGAAGTACGGAATTACAATATACAGAGACTCAGGACGCTGGCATTAATAAGCTAAATACAGTGTTTTGTATGAATAACTGCTTCATAAAATATACGTAATAACAAATCTTGGCACTAATGAGCTACTGGCAATATATGAATGGCAACTTTTAAAATAATACTAATAAAAATTCTCATGCTGAGAGAATCAAGCCGTTAGCATGAATGAGCAAAATGCAATGCATGAATATCAGCTGCTTAAAATAAACAAAATAACAAATCTTATACTGGGAGATTCAGACTGTTGCCACTAATGAGTAAAATGTAATGAATGTAATGTATGAATAGCAGCTTCATAAAATAAACCTAAGGACAATTCTTATACTTCGAGATACAGTACAGGGGTCACATAAATAGGCCCATAAATAGCAATTTTATCGTAATTAAATTTTTTAGTGACCTACTTACAGCTAAATCAAGAAAAAAACAAAAAAAATAGAAATCTGACAAATCACAGTTGAAGATGTTAGATGTATGACATACCAAAACCTTCTGCCTTGCAACAAGAAGCAAAGCAGTGTTAAAAACAGGAGTGTTATGAGAAACATTTTCAAGTTTCAACCTGAAACCAAAATTTCCACGTATGCCTAACATTTGTTCCACATGTGTATTTCCGAAAGTGCCTAAAAGTTTATAATTTGGGATTTTGGAACAAGAACTGTCTAATTTTTAAAAGCATCAGACCATAAATCTTTTCACAAATATATGTACCAATAAGAAACTATATATAAAACTAGGAGGCTTCGCCCCCTGCTCGCTGGTGCTCGCCAACCCCCGGAACAGCTTTCGCAGTTCATTTAGGATTGCTTCGCAATCCGATGCTCGCTTTGCTCGCTCATTGGATACGTTCTTAACATCTAGCTTTCGTATACTTTTTTGAACACTGAAGTACCGAAAACTTTTCACTGTAGAAAATTCTAAACCTGTGCATTTCAATGTTAATTTGAAATTGAAAACAGTTCGCATATTTTTCTTAATCACACTATTCTAAATTTCAGTTGTTGAGAAAAGTAACTTTTGTAAGTTTTGTTTTAAAGTCTTTCCCACCAGAGGGCTAAAACCATGTGTTGTAAAACAATCTATTATGTATAATTCTCTTACGTGGCTCCCAAATTTTGGCTGTATTTCTTTTCCGCCGGTGGCAACGTTTACTTTGTTTTGAAAACACCAAAGCATTCTGCCTTTTAATGATGTGTTTCTGATCTAATATTATATACATAATTCTCTTACGTGGCTTCCAAATTTTGGCTGAAGTACTTTGTACAACTAAATAAGATTCTTTTCACAACAGTTAAATATTTACTTTATTTTCTTCATTCATAGAGAAAACAGTCGGCAAAGAATTCTGTTAGGTTAAAAAACATTTCGCTAAAAAAATAACGAATTCTAAAAGAAATAAAAATAAACAACTTAAAAAATAAAAATGCTGTTGCCAGCCATAGAATTTTTTGAAAGTTAACTTAGCAACATAAATCAAAATGACATAGAAGCGCAACTAGATCAAAATTATGATACCTGAGCGCTTGACGTAACAAATCCTTCAATTCTAAAAGTGTTGTATCGCCAAATGCCCAAATTAACAATTGTGTTCTTAAAGAAATTCTATAAAAAGTTTTAAATAAACAACCTACTTCTACAACTGCTTCTTGAAGAACTTGGCTCATTGATTAAAAATATTGTTTTAATTTTACAGTACTAACTTTACTTCTACTTTCATTATTGCTATGACCCTCTTTCATTACATTTTACAACTTCATGCTAAATTTGAGGACTTTAAGTTGTTTTGTGGTTGAATACTGACATTTAGAAATGTGTACATAAAAAAAATAATATTTAGAGGTTAAGAGTTGCCTCAGAAAAATTTGAATTGTTGACATTGAACTTAACAATGGAAACAATCGTTTTTGTGAAAAATTGAATTGTATTGTTGACATCAAAACTAAAAATATTGTGTTTCAACTTAACAATACTACCTTAATTTATACTTTAGAATTGCCTCGGAGAAATTTGAATTGTTAGCAATGACTTAAACAAAAAGTTTTATTTTAACTGACAAATACTATATTATAATTTTAACTTTTTCTATGACTATACTCATTTTCTTACTCTTTTCTTTGTTTTTTATACATTTTATTTTTTTGTGATAAAATAAAAAACTTATAGTTGTTCTGCTTCTGAACACTGATGAAAACACAAAATGATGGGCTTCATCAACAATCAAAAATATATACATTTATTTTACAAATTCCATATTATTAAGGTGGCGCCCTTCAGAGAATTAAAAATACAAAATTATCTTCATCAAAGCCGATGCTTTACATCCGGCGTTCAGTGGCAGACTACTATTTCATATTGTTTTACAACACATGGCTTTAGCCCTCTGGTGGGAAAGACTTTAAAACAAAACTTACAACAGTTACTTTTCTCAACAACTGAAATTTAGAATAGTGTGATTAAGAAAAATATGTGAACTGTTTGCAATTTCAAATTAATATTGAAATGTACAGGTTTAGAATTTTCTACAGTGAAAAGTTTTCGGAACTTCAGTATTCAAAAAAGTATACAAAAACTAGACATAAAGAACGTATCCCAAGAGCGAGCAAAGCGAGCATTGGATTGCGAAGCAATCCGAAATGAACTGCGAAAGCAGTTCCGAGGGTTGGTGAGCGCCAGCGAGCAGGGGGCGAAGCCTCCTAGTATGAAATATTACTGAACGCCGGATGTAAAGCATCGTCTTCGATGAAGATAATTTTTTGAGAATGTTTTTGATAATTCGGTGAGAATTCACCCGATTAGACATATGATACTCAGTACGTGCTCTTGTGCGCCGAAGCCTATCAATTAAAACGTATTAGCGTTTTATATAATATAGATTAGCCATATGATGCTCACTACGTGCTCTTGCGCGCCGAATCCTATCAATTAAAAATGAAAACTGTTGCCAACGCGAGAAAAGAAATATCATCGGTTTTATTGATACATACGTATTAACGTTTTATATAATATAGATAACATACTTTGAGAAAAAAAAACAGATTTATACAATCGTAATTCTGATGCAGTTTCCACAATATTTTACTACTTACAAAATATTCAAACAATAAAAAAACGACCTATGCTTATGTTAGTTGGTTAGAACTTTGGATTGACCTTCAATGTTCTCCAACCTATGATAAGGATTTCATAGTTTCTTTAAAATGTCTTCGTGAACCTGCTTTTTTTATTTGCTCACCAGAAAAAGAAACCAAGGTTCATCAAGATCAGTAACACGGTCTAGATCACGGTTACACAGTTTTCTGGTAACTTAGAATCTACCGTAAAACAAGCTTGATTTTCTGAAGTAATTTGCATCCCCAAGCAACTTTTACGTGTTCGGTTCAGTCGTTCTAGTTTGAGTTGCTAGAGTTGAATCTAGTTGAGTTAAATAGTTGTCACCATTTTAGTACTACTATATACAAAATTTTATTTCACAGTGCAGGCTTGATTAAAATTAGACAAATATCTGTTCATTTTTTACTAGTTATTCTTTTAGTTTTAGCTTAATTCAACAGCACAAAGTAAAAAGGCGTAGCAGGAATTATAATAAATCTATGTGAAAAGCATTTCGTTCTCTACTAACAAGGATTAAAATATTTATATTTAGAAACTCCAAATATGTTTTTGATATAATCTTCGCTAAAAATATTTACGGGTAAGTTGAAAATTAAGTTATATAACCGAGTGAGTTATGTAATAAAGTGCCGGATAATCAGTAATATGTTACGTGACACTTACTTTGGCTTTTCTGTATTCCTTTATTAGATAAATCGGTCGTTCTCTGCTCTGGCGATGAATAATGTTCTTCACTGCTAGGATTTTTTGAAACTATGTAAGATCTTCTTTCAGCATTTGTTGAATGTAATGCAAATTCATCTGAATAGGTTAAGAAAAAAAAGCATTATTTTTGATAAATTTAAGAAACAATTAATGCTATAATTAATGTAAAAAACAAAATTATTTTTATTGAGGTTCATTTTCCACACTGTAAAAACTGTTGAGTAATACCTCTCCGAATTTGGAGTCGAAAAACTAAAATATTTGTGTGAATGATTACTTTATGTCAAATTAAAATCGAATCGAGAGTATTTACACGCATCAAAGGGTGTAGTTAAATTTTAACATCAATAATTAATGAAGCTTACACCAATCTGCAGCTGGTTAGTGAAGAAGGTATTGTTTTTACGAGCTCCGTAAATTTGGCAAATAATTAGTATAGATTTAAACTATTTTATAAAATCTTGAGTGAAATCATGGTAGGGCATGTTTAGCAAATGCTTTTGGATAATTATCAGAAGTTTAACGGAGAATAATTGTGAAATTTTTGTTGACAATATGGTGATTTGTTTACATGAAGTGTACTTCTTGTGGGATTTGTTGTTGTTGTTTCTATCGTCACTTGCCAAATACCTCCAAGCCTGCTTGGGAAACCAAGCTAATTTTAAAGCAACGGGTGCGCTTCTTGTTTTCAGTGGCGTTATTTATGACCAAGAATACAATTTCAGCCCTACACACGTCACAGCCCGTTTTACAGGGTGGACCCATTCATAAATTCATTCATACATTCATAAATTTTTTCATTCATTCCCAGATCGTAATTTTGACCTGAACCAAAGAGCAACCAATCTTCAATTCAAGGAAATATTTTGCTATTCCAATTTTTCCAAAAACAAACCCATGAGGCACTTTAATGTCTTATGGAATCTAACGGGTGGTATTGTTATTGATCACTTTTTCGAGGCCGCCACATAGTTAGATGAACATCTCTCCAACAACGCAAGAAAAACAGGTAGGATAGAGCGATGAATTACATCCATGCCCGGAGCGAGACTGGAACCCAGTATCTTCCAGGTGAGGTCAACTCCTTGTCCACCATACATCCGGTCGGCCTATTTCATCATTCTATTTTCAGTCGTCTAGTCTTCATTTAAGTTAGCAATATCCCATAATGTACAGCGATGGGGTTCAGAGTTGAGGAAACATTTTAGTCTTATATTTACAGTTTGTATTTCGTCACAAATCACGTAATTTCGTGACAATATGATTCTCAAAATTTACAGAATACAGCTCAAGTATTGATGAATCGTCAAAAGAGAGAGTTTTATTTTTGAGAGTTTGAAAAATTTAATAGGATAGATTTTTTTCGAGTGGTGAGCAAGTTGATTTGTATTGCAAGTTGATTGACTTAATATGAATAGTTTATAATATAAATATTATCAGGTAAAAATCAGAATACAGGAAATTCGGGACAACAGAAAAAAAAAATTACATGAGACCAAATTTGCAAGATCAACATAACTACGAATTTGCTCCAAAGGAGACTGTAGTCAGGACTTTTCAAAAATTTGCTACTGCTGAACGATATATCTTTGAGATTGTAAGTGTCAGTGTTAGACCATTAAGATCATTTAACTGTTTTTAGTCTCCTTCCGGGAAACGTCCAATAGGATCGATTCTTTCAATTGGCAAGCAAGTTGATTTGTTGCCGTACAGTTGTGCTGTTTCGGTGCTTGTCGTGGATGGGCCATAATATGCATATGGCCAGTTACCAGATATATGAGGATACAAGAAAGATGGAACCATCGGTAGAAAGCGACATTGAGGATCACTTGTGGTCGGAGATAAATATGTTGGCAGTTTTCCTGTCCAGAAATTTAAAGGATATTGTGATTTAGTATGTTCCGGAGATTGAGGATTGTCCAGAGATAAATCTTCAACGTAATCAATATCTGTTCTCTTTGGTGTAGATGAAAAGTCTATAGAAAAATAAACAAAATTATTTATTAACTGAATATTTTCTGAAATGAATAGTAATATAGATGTTAAATTATCACTTTTTAAATTATTAGTAGAGTAATTTTTCAAATATTTTTTGCAAAAATATTTATGTTTTGTTTTGTTTTTCAATTTTTTAAAAATCTTCTTTAGATTTTCTTATTGCATAAAAATAAAGATTTAATTCTTTAAAAAAGAAAAAAAACGTGAATTTCCAAGAAGGAGAAGTAATTTTACTTCAGTAACAAGTAAAATATAAAAGAAAACGTATCTGTTTTGAAGATCATTGAAAGAATTTTAGATGATGGCAAGAAGCCTATTGCGAAAAAATTCCTAAAACATTTTTTTTTTGTTTTATTATTATTTTTTCTTTTAGTTTTACATCGAATAGTTTTTTAAATGTCGGAATGGGGTAAAAATATCAACGGGCGAAAATTTTATTTGACGATAGATTTCATTTATGTGTGTTAGAGAGTTTTCGAAATTTATATTGTCCTCCGACAAAGAGCTCAATTTAACTAGTTAGTCAAAATTTCAATTGAGATAACATGGCGATCACTGCTGCCAGTAGAGGTCTGAAAATTATTGGAACTTCTATTTTCATCAGGCAAAGGGCTACAATTTTTGACATAGAGGGAATTTTCGGTGATGGCAAAAGTTTATTGTGAAAAAAACATTTTCAAAACTCATTTTTGGTTTATTATTTTCTTCTTCTTTTTATTGGAGTCCATAACGTTCCTAAATGTAGAAAAATAGTCGAAATATCAGTAGGTGAAAATTCTATATGCTTATAAATTCCATTTGTAGCGGTTAGAGAAGTTTTAGAACTTGCATTTTAATTAGGCAAAGAGCTCAATTTAAAGTTTGCGAAGTCTAGTTAGTCGAAAATAGTCAAAAGTTTAAATACAATGAAATAGAAAATGTATTCTGCCAAAAGTGATCAGAAAACAATTGCTACTTGCATTTTCATCAGGCATAGAGCTACAATTTTAATCTGAACACTCCAGCTATCTGGAAATTATGATAGCATGATTCCACACTGTAAAAAGGGCGATATAAAACCTCTTCAAATTCGATGTTAAAAGAAAACTCAAAAAATTGTGAGAATAAATGCGTTATTTCAATCTACATACCAAAAACAGAGAATGCTTACACCAAGCTCACATGCATTTGCATCATTCATTAATTATTTTTGTCTTCGAAAAAACTAACGTTCCGAATCATTAGATGGCAACGGTAGATTGTTTACTATCAAGCACGAGGTATGTTCCTTATCGTCTCGCACATGGCAAAATATCAACAGAAATTTAACTGTTACAAAAACCATTTATGTTTTAGAGTTGCAATGAAGATAATTCTCATAAGATAATTTCATGTATTAATAATTACATTAAATGACTTTATAATATACAATTCTCATGTGTGTCTGTTCTATTAAGCTTAATTTGAATTTGTTCTAAAGTTCTCTTTATGCTGTGTGTATGGCTGTATCACAAACTAATTTTATTTTTGGAATTGTTGAGCGAACGCATTCTAAATTAACCCTTGCCTTATAAGTCCCACTTATAATAATTCCGTATGGCATTGAAACGGGACAAAATATCACATCGGGATTTCCCCAAAAATACAATTTTCCAATTATCATAACCAATAGACAGCGCACAATTATTTGAAACTGAACATTGCTTAGTTGATGATATTTGGTTCCTAAAACCTCCTTTTTTGATTAATCTTTGTTCTTCAACTCTCTACTTTTTATTTTGAACTCATTTGTTAGTGAGTCTCTTATTATTTTTTTTCATCGATTCATTAAAATTTTCAACAAGTTATCAAACACTGTATTAAATACTTAATTTAATTAGAACTTTACGTTGTGCTGATCTTTTCCTGGGACGGATTTCATAGTCCCGACGGGTTTTATATTGACGCAATCAATATTTTATAAATTGCACTGAGAATACTGTTGAGTTGTTTGATGTGGTTTTGCAACATTTATAAGACAGTTGTGATATTTCTTTTTATATGAGTTCATTATTTTCTTTTCTTATACATACGTGTATTGGAGAAGATAAAGCTTGATAGCTGAACTTAACAGTTGAGGAAATTATAATTGTGTAGGCTGAAATTCTATCTGATCCTAACACTTCTGAATACAAAATATACAATCACAAAAAAAAAANTCTGGTTAAAAAAAAAAAAAAAAAAAAAAAAAAAAAAAAAAAAATGCAATTGTGAATAATAACCAAAATTTCAAATTAATTACATTATAAATGTGGTTTCCATTTTAATATTTCTGATTGATGTTTAGAAATTACAATACATTTTCACAAGTATTTCGTTATTCTCTGCGTTTTAAGGGTATAATTTTTGCTCTTAAAATATCATCAGTCATGCATAAAATCCCGACAGACATTAAAGTCCTAATAGAACTTTAAAGTCTAAAAAATTTGTTAAAAAATTAGAAAATAACATTGAACATTAAAAAAGTATTTTTCAAAGTGTAGAATAACAATTACTCAAAAGGAAAAAAAAGTTTCATACATTTTTGATAATTTTTTTAAAAAACTTCGTTTATGGAGAGTTTATTGTTCGTATAGTAAGTGATATTGCAAAAATAACTTTACTGTTTCTAAAGTGGTTCCATCTTATTGTCATTACAAAATTTTGGTTTCACTAATCACTAAAAAGGGTGACAACTACTTTAAACCAAAAGAAGTATAATGAAATATTTCTGGTGTTTCGCTACACCAAAGATTATCCTTCGTGTTTGATTACACTAAGAATAGTCGTTTGGTGTTTTCCATTTTTGATTTGAAATAGTTGTCACCATTTTAGTATTACTATATACAAAATTTTATTTCACAGTGCAGGCTTGATTAAAATTAGACAAATATCTGTTCATTTTTTACTAGTTATTCTTTTAGTTTTAGCTTAATTCAACAGCACAAAGTAAAAAGGCGTAGCATGAATTATAATAAATCTATGTGAAAAGCATTTCGTTCTCTACTAACAAGGATTAAAATATTTATATTTAGAAACTCCAAATATGTTTTTGATATAATCTTCGCTAAAAATATTTACGGGTAAGTTGAAAATTAAGTTATATAACCGAGTGAGTTATGTAATAAAGTGCCGGATAATCAGTAATATGTTACGTGACACTTACTTTGGCTTTTCTGTATTCCTTTATTAGATAAATCGGTCGTTCTCTGCTCTGGCGATGAATAATGTTCTTCACTGCTAGGATTTTTTGAAACTATGTAAGATCTTCTTTCAGCATTTGTTGAATGAAATGCAAATTCATCTGAATAGGTTAAGAAAAAAAAGCATTATTTTTGATAAATTTAAGAAAAAAATTAATGCTATAATTAATGTAATAACATAATTATTTTTATTGAGGTTTATTTTCTACACTGTGAAAACTGTTGAGTAATACCTCTCCGAATTTGGAGTCGAAAAACTAAAAAATTTATGTGAATGATTACTTTATTTCAAATTAAAACCGAATCGAGAGTTTTTACACACATCAAAGGGTGTAGTTAAATTTTAACATCAATAATTAATGAAGCTTACACCAATCTGCAGCTGGTTAGTGAAGAAGATATTGTTTTTACGAGCTCCGTAAATTTGGCAAATAATTAGTATAGATTTAAACTATTTTATAAAATCTTGAGTGAAATCATGGCAGGCCATGTTTAGCAAATGCTTTTGGACCATTATCAGAAGTTTGAAGGAGAATAATTGTGAAATTTTTGTTGACAATATGGTGATTTGTTTACATGAAGTGTACTTCTTGTGGGATTTGTTGTTGTTGTTTCTATCGTCACTTGCCAAATACCTCCATGCCTGCTTGGGAAACCAAGGTAATTTTAAAGCAACGGGTGCGCTTCTTGTTTTCAGTGGCGTCATTTATGACCAAGAATACAATTTCAGCACTACACACGTCACAGCCCGTTTTACAGGGTGGACCCATTCATAAATTTATTCATACATACATAATTTTTTTCATTCATTCACAGATCGTAATTTTGACCTGAACCAAATAGCAACCAATCTTCAATTTAGTACCCCAGAGGAACTGATTTGTTATTGGTAGATTACTGATTTGTTATAGGTAGATTATTTGAAAAGTAATTTTTATTTTGTTATCTGATTTCTGATAAACTAATTTTTTAGTTTTACTCTCATAATATTTACATTAATTTGTCAATTGTATGAAATAATTTTATATTTAATTTATATTCACTTTGGTTTTGTTTGAATTTATATTAATATCCTGTTAATGCTGTGCTTATGTTTGAGCAATAAACTAATTAATAAACTAATTTTATTTTAATAAATATTATATATATGCTACCTAAATTTATGACTTTTGATTTAGATCATCATATCTTAATGCAATTACAAATTTTAGTGTTAATTAATAACAGATATGTACCAAATAAATTGTACCAAGAAGTATCAAAGAATATTCCAGGCGTTTCACTTCAACAGGAACTATTCTTGATTCTGATGCAGTGGCACACTTAGTGAAATATCACTTTGGTGCAAAATAATTGCCTCCACTTTTTTTTCCCTAGATTCACAAAAATATTTTACAGGTAGATTTTCTAAACATCAACCCAAAACTCTATCTTTAATCCATAGAATTTTTCAAGCATTTAAATATAGCTTGAGTCATTAAATGTTCTTCTTTACTATGACTTTTCTATTTGTAAAGGAAACGTGTCTAAAATCAGCAGGAGTACTGGAAATTGTCATTATTGTTTAGCTGCACTCATTATAAAAGCTGTAGTGTAAAGCTGTAAAAATAGTGTAATTTTTTTTTCTTCCTTGTAATAAGATGCTCTAAACTGTTTTAGAGTGTAGAGACTAGGTAGGAGCTGGAAAACATATTTCCTCGTTAATATTGTGTCAATTCTCAGACACGGTGCTTTTAGAGTCCTCTCCGAACTGTTATAACGATGTCTTTTGAAAACTGAAAAGTTTAATCGGTTTCCATCTTGAGAGAAGAGTGGATATATTATTTCCTGCTTTTTTTTTTAGATAAAAACGTCTTTTTATTGATTTAAATTGTTTTGAAAACAAACATTTCATTTTAATACAAAATATTTTCCAGAGCTGCACCGACAATAATGTTTGTCCCACTTTCTTCAAAATAAAAGATTTCATATAAAATATATATTTAGAAATTGAGAATTTAATTAGCGCATTTAAAGTAAAACGATCAAACCACATTCAGTGGGAATGTTCCTTAAGCGTTTAAAATTCGTGAATTATATTTTATTGTTCTTTATGATTTCAACTTTTTTATTATAATTTAATGTTTTGAAAGAAATATTTGAAATATTTATAAATAATTATTATTAAATGCAGAGTAATGACGTCACAACGTTAATTCATTAATAATCGATAAACTTCTCAATAGTTGAAGAAATTTAGAACGTGTTCCAAAAGCTCCGGGTCGTGAATCAGATCCGTTATCAAGTTCCAATTTCTTTCTTTAAACTGAAAAAACTATCAAAACTATCAAATCCTAAGCAAATTTGGTGGGTAAAAATGCATTTTTAAGTTAACACATTGTTTACCGGTGACGAGTTAACCCATCATTACACTTGCATTGTCTATTTCAATTTATGAAACCCAGGGTGATATAGAATTTCATAAATTTCATTCAGTACAAATAAAATTTATTGGAGTTTATTTATAATATTTTGCTTTGCATCCATATTCAATGGCAAAATAACAGTTGTGACATAACATTATTTCTGCATAAATTTGCCGATTAACTAAATGTTAATTCGGAATCAAGCATTCTTACTTTTTAATTAGTGTAGTTAAATCTAAACTCTAATAAATGATAAAGCTTACACCGAACTCAAATGCTTTTATAATAGTGTGCATAATAGTGTGCATCACTTAAGGTGTCTTGCTAGTTTCGACTAATTTTTTTTTGAAACAGTATTAGAAAATTTAAAAAAAAAGCTAGTTTTTTTGTTTTATTATGTGTAACAGCTAGCAAAAAATATTTATATTATTATTATTTTTTTAAACTGCCATTTTTAGAAAAGAGCAAGGCATTTTTTTCATATGCGCTAAATTCTGTAAAACAATTTCTATCGACTGAAACAAAAACTTTTATTTAGAAGGCTATCAACTATGTTTTGAACTATTATCGTAAAAGCAAGTGCATATAATACTAAGTTAAGGATTAAATTTTTAAAAATTTTCGCGCTTGTTTTTGCGAAAAGACACGCATAAAGAAATTCTACTTTTTCTCTTAATCTGTACTCAAAAATATGTGTATGTACTATAACCATAAACACTCATGAAAAATTGTAGGCAATTATTTTAAATACAACGTGAGAAGGTAGTGTAAAATGTGAAGAAAAATCTTTTTTTGAGATAAAGGCATTTAACTTTTGAGATAAAATCATTAGTCTATCCACTTGTATAATTTTGCCCAAAAACTGCTATAACTTAGTAAATTATTGGAATCTAAACAAAATTAAAATATTTTAGAAAGCTAAGAGTACGGGGATTCTAAATTTACTATGAACTCATTTTCTGAAAATTTTCCTGTTTTTGCACATACCAGATACCTTAATAATTCACGTTAATATGATCACCGTTTTTGAAAGGAACTCATAATCAGCTGCTTTATTTCAATGAAAGTAATCGGAATGCACCTTTTTAAATTAAAATACCGATTTTAAATGTCATTTTATTTTTTATTGTTGGGACATATGGATGAAATTATTGATACTACTTACCTTTTACATCTGAACTAATTTTATATTCCAAGGATCTAGAATTGGATGAATTTAGTTTCTTTTCTGACTCTGAATTACTTAGAATGGCGGACTGTTTTCGTTCAATTTCTTTTTCATTAGAAGATTGTTGAGGAGAAGTAGTTGTAGAGCTAATAGCTTCCTTGTTTTTCTCTGGATTATAGTTTTTGTCTCCCCCTTTTTGAAGCTTTCTCTGCTTAGCTCTGCGATTTTTAAACCACACCTATCAACGTAGAAATGAAAAGAACATATTATTCATGCATTTTAAGATACTCTTTATAATTAATAATATTCTTAAAAATGATTCTAATATAATAATATTAGTAACTAGTGGGCTGCGCCCCCTGCTCTCTAACGCTCGCCAACCCCCGAAAATTGTTCACAATCTTATATGGTTTGCTTCGCAAACCAAGCTCGCTTCGCTCACTATTAACTTAGTTACATTGCAAATGCACAAAATTCTAAGAATTCAAAACAATCATTTAACTTTAAAAAAAAAATACATCCTTTTAGTAGATACTACGTCATTAAAATAAATTTGAATTCAAATAAATGACATGTAATTCGTTAAACCTATTAGAAATTTGCTATAGTATAAAATCTTAAGATAAAATTTCTAAAACTGATATCTCTTTAAAAAGGTTAAAATTTTGGCTATAATTAAGTCTATAAAAATGACAGCATGTCGTCTGCTCATTCTTTCACCACTACGTGTTTCATAGCTGTCATCAATGCTCTCTTCCAATCTTCGAGCACGCTTCTTTTGGTTATAACTTCAAAAGCTTAACAGCACGACTGAGACTCCTTTTTCAATTAATAACTAATAACAATAATAAAACAAATAAATTCGTGATATAAATTAAAAATCGTCAAATAAATTCGTAATTTATAAATTCGTGAAAAAAAGCGCTTTCGACAGCTATACTAAAATAGAGATCTATCGACAAAGACTACTCACTTCTGTCTAGCTTAATAGTATTTTGTGAGAGTGCTCTCTCTGGATATTTCAATTTCCGTTTTTAAAAGCGCAATATGTTAGCTAGATTTGGCATGTGACATTTTTAGCGGCAATCATTGGTCGATTTTCTAGCGTTGCCATTCGGGGAGTTGTAATGAGTCTTTTTTTGNAATACATATATATATATACAGTATACTCTCGATTATCCGTGTGGGGATTATCCGGTTTGCGGATTTTCCGTGCTCATTCCGGAGTCGTACAAAAAATTTAAAGAGAAAAAGATTCAAAATTTAAAAAATTCGATTCATGAAGTTATAACACTACCAAATCTTTGGAAAGCAATATTCGTTATTGGATTGCAATATATGGAATATCAGCAGCACAATCAAAGGTAAAATCGTCTATGTTATCACGATCATGGAAAAAGATCTTACCGCTTGATGAATAACCTTCTTCAGATATTCAAGAAGAATATAATAACAGTATTCTCGAACAAGCAAAAGAAATCTAAGGTTTCGAAATTCTTGATGAAGAAAAATTAAAAGATAGGTTTCAAAGTGATGCATGTGAGCCTGGCTTCCAGTATTTGACAGATGAAGACATCGTTATGTTGTTAAATCAAATAGTGATGATAGTAACAGATGCAGAAGATGTAATAAATGAGGGAAATACAATTTCTGCTGCTCTACAATCTGTTGAAACTTTATTAGATTATATAGGAGTATTTGATTACGGTTACTTAACTACGGTTCGTAAAATATGTGACAATATGCGGCGTATTTCACATTTTTTTTTAAAAGGAAAATTCCAAGTTTGATGTTATACGGGATGCAAATGAAAGTAATTTTTATATTTTTTGTTCTGATATGGATTTTTTCCTTAATAAAAAGAAGTTTTCGGATTATCCGTGTTTTTCGATTGCCCGTGTGACCTGTCCCGGTGATTAACACGGATAATCGAGAGTGCACTATATATATATAAGGACCAAATAATAATAAAGCCAAGTAAGCAGGTAAGGACTAAAATTTTTTGGTTGTTTTTTCTTTTATAAAATCAGTTATTTTACTATGGAGTTATGACTTTTTATTATTCTTTGGTACTTTTATTTTGAATCTAAGTTATCACAGTTCAAGTCAGTTTGTTTCAGGCTTATATTATTTGGACCCAATTCTAATTGGTTATGAGGGGCATCTACAGAAAATTAATGTAATTAAATAAAAAAATACTGATTTGTTGATAAAAATTCATTTTGACGTAGTTCTGAGGATCAAGTTAAATGTGTATTTTTTATTCCAGTAGAAAAAGTCATTCGCCAAATTTACGATTTTATCACATTTGACGAGGTGGCGAATGCTTAACGCTGGTATTGCTTTCTGATACAATAAATACTACCGTATATGCATTAGTCGACCTCCGAGTTACGATTATGAAATGGCAAATTTTTGGTATGTCGGATGTATTTAGTCGACAGTAAAAAGAAACGAAATATGAAAAATTATAAAATTAAACAAATTAAGACAAGAAATTTTTCTGAAATTTAAAATATTTCACATTGTTTTTTCTGGATATGATACACGCTGAAAACAATTCTGTTTAAGTTACTGTAATGTATGGTAATGACATTTCCGTTAAAAAAAATATAGTTCTGGTTAATAAAACCAAAATATACCGTATTTAAGCCATTCATTTGATAATTTTTCCGTCGTTATAGTAACGGTTTAACAGAAATTCTGATTTTCACAATTATAGTTCTTATTACTAATACATAAGTGAAAAGTAAATTTAGCGGAATAAATGGTTTTTATGTCAAGCTCTAAAGTATCATGATAAAATTACCAAATTTCACCACACTTTCCAAATTTCATCGCATATTATAAAACCTAATTTTAATGATAATTTTGCCAAAATCATTACCGAAGCTCTTCGGTTAAAATGCTTTTGGGGTATATACTGTAACGGTACGGTAAATTTTATTATTCTAATAGTTTTGACCTTAGAGCACGATAACATACAAATTGCAATAAAGTAAGTAAGCATTAATTTAAAAAAAAAATTATGCTTGTGAAGTGTAAAAGGTCCTCTTTTTATGAATTTTTCTCCACCTCCAAAAACACGACAGTATACGATATTTTTTTTTTTTTTTTTTTTTTTTAAATAAAATTTTNAATTTTTTTTTTTTTTTAAATAAAATTTTATAGTCTGAAACACAGTTCCATAGTAAAAAGCTTTAGATGAAGTTCATAGAAGGAAAAGCTGTCCTTGTATCACGTGACAACGCAAAGGGGGGACTAGCTCTCTCCGCAGAAATTACTCCTCTGAAGATTTGATCGACCATATTTTTTTCATCAGTGTACGCTTACCTTTAAATAACTACAATATCGAAGACATTGCTAACGCTACCAGAATATGATAAAAGTTTTACCTTGCTTCTGGTTGCATGGGAACACAAAAAAGCTCGTTAATTTTTACCGAAACGCTTCGATAATAACTTTAGTAAAATTAACAATAAACTATGGTTTTATAATATGCAATAAACTTTTTTAAATATGATGAAAATTTGGTAATTTATTATGATATCTTAGAGCATGTCATAAAAACCATTTATTCGGCTAATTTTACTTTTATTTTTTGTGAGTTTTTTTTACTAAAGTTTTGTATTTGTATTTTGTATTTTTTTACTAAATTTGTAATAAAAATAGTAATTTTGAAAACCAGAATTTCTTGGAACCCTTACCGTATAAACTGAAAAATTTCCAAATGAATTTAAATAACATACATTTTATTTTATTAACAAGAATTGCTTTTTTTTTAAAATCAAATATTCCAGTATAGTACAGTACAGTAATTTTATTAAAATTGTTTCCTCTGCGTATCATTATGGTAATTTAACATTTCCATGTAATACAAAACTAGCTAATGCGAATTTTGTTTTTCAAAAAGTTATTGGTATTTTCACTTTGTTATAATTACAAAATCCCATAGTTATGCGATTCTAGATCATATCTTAATTCTTTTGTATATTTGTGTCCTGTTGGTAAGTTATTGTTTATGCATGTTAGATACAATATCAGTTTATATGTCACATAGTAAAATAATCTGAATATATAGTCACAAAGCGGTTACCATCCTTTGTCTTATTTGCTTCCCAGAATTAATCACTATTGGAGTTGATGAATAAAACAATAAAAACTGGAAAAAAAAATGCTACAAAATACCTTACTTGTATTTTTGGTTCCGGTAGTCCAGTTTTGCGAGCCAAATTTTCTCGGTTTTCCAAATCTGGATATTGCGTTTTAGCAAATGTTTGCTCTAAAGCAGCTAACTGTTGCTGAGAAAATGCTGTTCGGTTTCTTCTGTGTTTCCCAAGAGGAGTAGCGGCTACATTTCGAAAATCTGAAAGAGAATTTGATATGAAATTCCAAACAATTTTACCAAATAGCTGAATAATATCTACTATTTGGCAACAAGAATACTTCCTGCATTATTGCTATTTTTTTTATAAACTAATAGCTTAAGTCCTAGTTAAAAAAAAAGAGATTTCAGTGCATAAAAATAAAATTCTTTTATTATATTCTGTTTCAAGTTAAGAAAAAGTCATTATCCCTATGAAGAGAACCTGTTTGCATCTAAGTATACGCCAAGCTGCCAGTGCGAACGTATTATACATTTCTTGAATTGCACAGCCTTATTTTTGACTGCTTTCTTTAACTAGTGGGCTGAGCCCCCTGCTCGCTAACGCTTGCCAATCCCTGAAAATTGCTACGCAATCTTATATGGTTTGCTGAACAAACCAAGCTCGCTTCGCTCGCTACTAACTTAGGTACATTGCAAATGCACTAAGTTCTAAGAATTCAGAACAATCATTCATATCCATATAAAAACTCTTTTTTTTTTTTTTAAAAAAATTGCATCTTTTTAGTAAATACTAAGTCATTAAAATAAATTTGAATTCAAATAAATGACATGTAATTCGTTAAACCTATTAGAAATGTGCTATAGTATAATTCGTGATATAAATCAGAAATCGTCAAATAAATTCGTAATCCGTTTTTAAAAGAGCTACATGTTGAGCCACCTCAACTAGATTTGGCATGGGACATTTTTAGCTGCAATCATTGGTCGATTCGCCGTGTAAGAGAAATAGTAACTTAAACAAAACAAAGCAAACGTTGCCACCGGCGGAAAATAAATACAGCCAAAATTTGGGAGCCACGTAAGAGAATTATATATATTAGATGTGAAATGAGGAAAACAAAACTTATTAAATAATCAATTAACAAGTAATTAATAAAAATTATATATTAACATCGCAACAAGTATATGTCTTTTTATTCGCATTTAAATAAACTGATAAAAGAATAATTAGTATTGGTTCCTGTAGGCGATTTTATTCCACAATTGAAGAAAATTAATTTCGCATTTGATTTGTTAAGGGCATGTCAAGATAAGACACGCCATTTTGAGTGGCCCAATCTCATCCTATGCTCTTGCAACGTCACATAGCTGTTCCTTCTTCAAGAACTCCTTATGTATCGAAATATGTCGCTAAATCTAGGATTCCAGTTAGGCTATGAAGCTATTACCTTTTTGAAATAATTCTGTGATAGTCTGTGATAATATGAATTGAATTTCCGCCTGATGTGTTTAGCTTTCATATAGTTTTAAAAGCATATTTGTATAATTTGATAACGAAAAATATGGAACTATATGCAATCGCGTATGATTACTTAAATCCTATACCGCAATGGTCTTTTCTTAACTTGCAACGGAGTATAAAAAAAGTTGCCATTGGGGTGGACCTGAGTAGAACTAAGTATTCTGCTTAGTTTATATGTTATAGTTTTCGAATGCTAGGAAGTAAATAATGAAGCTCTCATGAAGGAAGTTTCCTATGTTACATAAAAGTTATATCCACATTGTAAAAAGTTTTCTTGAATCTGGAAACCAAAAATGGGGACAATTACTTTGCAACAAAGTGGTGTTCCACTGCTATGAAAATGTTCTATTACACTACTTGGTGTAAAGCAGCTGCCACCACTTTTTGCATTCAGTAGCACTATTATAGTGATCGTAAAATAAGATTCACATAAGAGTCAGTAAATGTCTTATAACGATTTAATATAATGTAATAATCATTAGTTTAGAAGGCCCCCATCACCCCCAAGCTCTTGGGCGCATTCATCCCCCCAAAAAACATTTTTTCTAACTTCCCCTTCCATGTTAGCTTGTTCGAAATAGTGCTACTTTGCATTCTACTCATAATATGACAATGCTTCTTTTATTTATGTACTAAAAAAAAATTCTCTCGTCTAAATTCCCCCCCCCCCAAACTATTCGTTTTATTTAGTGTAAAAATCCCCCCCAAGCTTTAAGTAGGCGCATCGTGCGCCCACCTTCCCCCCTGATTGACAAAATCAAATTAGTTTTAATTAGCACAGAGATAACATAAACACAAACTCGGACGAGGTTCAACAATAGAGAAAGTGATGAAAATTAGACATGTAAAAATCTCTTAATACAGTTCACAGAGGTTTAAAAAAATAAAATCTAATTATCCTTATTGCAACAATTCAAAAAATACATTCTTATTTTAACGACGAACTGCAAATAATTCAATAAAATCACAACAAATCATCCAATCATATCGCAACAAATCATTCAATCAAATCACAACAAATTATTCAATCAAATCACAACCAACAACAAGTAAGTCTAACCGACATATTCTATGTTACAAACGCAAACTTCTGGTAATAAAAAAAGAGCGCCAAGGCATCCGTGTTTTCGGAAGATAGACTAATTCTTGTTTTGTTCAAATGAGTAATAATTCGGTGTAATCTAATTCGATTACAAGTGTTTAGATTTGAATTCCACTCATTAAATCGCATATAAACGCTCGATTTGGTGTTAACCTGTAATAAGGAGTTTCGTCACCCAATTTTTTGGTTTGTTCAATATTTTATTCCAAAAGATATTACACCACAGTTTTTACAGTGCAAGGCTACATTAAGGAGAGTTTTCCGTAAAAACAATCTTCAGTGCATTAAAAAAATTAAAAATTTTTTTTTCTTTAAAAGGCATCAAAAAAGAATTTCGCCTTATTAGGGAAACACTTTTAGTATTGAACTAAGAATTATTTATGAGTAAGTGTATGTCGTCGCTCACGAAGAACTGTTATGTTTTAACTGTTATGCAAATTGTTGGTAAATTAAATCTTATCATTATGCATATTTTATCTCCAACTCTTAAAATTGTGTATATTTTATTTGCTAAGAATTTTTCGGAAATGTCAATTTAGAAATCAAGCTCAAAATACTGTCGCATCATTCAGACATGTTTTCCTTTAATAAGAGTGAATGACTCATAATATTAGATTTGGAGTAGTTAAATTCGCTTTATGTGTCTATCAGGAAAGCGAATTAAGGAAATGAGATTAAGGAACAATGTATTTATTTTCTTTTAGTATGCCTATCAAGAAGAAATTGACCTTGATTTTTTTTTTTACGAAATCACACTAATTCTTGAATTTCATTTGTTTGAAACATAAATAGATAATTTTATGTTTCGGTCTTTTTTTGGAATCGTTTTTTGTAAGAAAGGGTTTCGCAGAACTGAGAAAACATTTGTCATATAGCTCCGAAACAAATAATAATCGAATTTGAAAACCTCATGTATTCAAAATTGAATCAGCATATATTCTTTTTTTTAACGAAATGCATACTATCAAAAGTAATATGGAGGAGAAAATTGTGTAAGCGAGATGATTAACTATCTCCTGACTTCGCTGTAGGCACCATATTTTCCAAATTGCAATCCTTTGTATCATAGAAATCGAAAATGGCCACCATATAAAGCTTCCTAAGTCTCCCTTGACTGGGGTGTACAACTATGGGGGATAGACCACTCTACTACGAAACCGGAGGTCCTTGGTTTGAATCCTGTGGATGCCAACGGGCATCTCTTTCACGTATTTTTTCTTTCATATCACTTTTGTGACAATGAATTTTGCTCATAATTGAGTATATGTTGCTTCAATTATGATGCATGGGGTTTTCAGACTCGAATATTATTTGTTTCTGATACTTTTTTTCCTCAATTTTGAAATCATTTGCAAGCATTTAAAACTAGACTTCAAATAGTGGATAAAACTAAATAAAAAGTCAAAAAGGCAGACAATTGACACTGTAACGTTAGATTTGAATGATTTAAATTTATAAAATCATTTTCAGAAAGTTAAAAAGCATCATGCAAGCTTTTTAGAGATAAAAACACAATAATATTAACAATTTTTTAATATACATGGTGCCCCTGAAGGAGAGGCCAACAAAACTGCCCTGTAAATGCTTGAATTGACGGAAAAATGTTAACACAGGTGGGCATTAGAAATAAAATGTTTTTTTTTTAATATACTTTTCACCAACATATAAAACTTTACTCCTAATTATTAGATAATAATAAGAAATTTGGAAAGGTAGTCACTAGAGATTATTTTGGTTAGAGTTATTAATGGAATAATTTTCAAGTTTAAAAAAAAATCTTGAAAACCATTTCATGAAGAAAAAACCTAAACTAGTTTTTACATTTCTTTCGGAATATAAAATGGAACTCCGAGTATTTGGATAATAATAACTTCTGAATCATAAAGGAAGTCAATCGAGTATAATTTTGCTATTCAAATATTAAAATACCGAAATCAAATTATGTGCATGCTGCAAAAGAATGCAAGTAAATATTTTTTTGACTAAATGTGTGGATAAAGAACTATAATTTTGAAAACCAAAATTTCGAATAAACCATTACCATGTGAACGGAAAAAAGTACCAAATAAATGGTTTAAATATTATGTTTTTTTTTCTTCTTTTTTTGCACCGGAATTATGTATTTTTTTTTTCCTAAGAAAGTTATTACCACACAGTACGGTAATTTTACCAGAATTTTTTCTTCACGTGAATGTGAGGATTTTTTACCAAATGTGTGGTAATAAGAACTATAATAAGAACTGTAATCAGAATTTCCAGTAAACCGTTAATATTACCTTATCATTCTGACAGAAACATTGTCAAATAAATGGTTTAAATGCAGTACAGTTTTTTAAACAAAAATTATGTTTTTTTTCCCATAGGAATGTTATTAACGTATGGTAATTTTACCAGGATTCTTTTTTCCATACCAATGTTATAATCTTTTCACGATTTCTTTATACAATACTAATTTTTTGTCTGATATGTTAATTTTTAACAGGTATTTTTTTATCACATTATAAAAAGTTTAAAGCAAAAGTATAGCTTTAAGTTTAAGTTTTTTTCCTTACCTTCGAAAGTATATGGTCTAGTTATCCATGGAACATAAGGTTGGTAAAATGGTGTTGTTGTGGGTCGGAATACAGAATCTAGAGAAGCAGACGGAGCCAAGGAAATGTATCTGGAGCCGCTTAAAGCTGCATATGCTGTAGGATACCCCTGAAGCCCGTCCTGCACATAAAGAATGTCTTAAAGAATTTATGAAGTTAATGTTTAGTTTTCAGAAGAATTTATGATCTCATAATACATAAAATTCTTATGAAGTACTTTAATTTTCAGACGACTTTATAAATAACTATTTCACAATATATAAAATCGTTTTGATGCATTATGATCGTTTTGAGCATTCTTAATGGGCAGAAAAATCACATGATATCATTTTCAATATAAATGGAACAGCATAAAATTAACAAAAGTTATGGTGGTATTTGCATGCATATTGTTTATGTATTCCTTATTTAGAGAAATTTATAAGTGTTTGTTCGTTCAGAAAGTAATTTCGGAAAGTAGATGCGTATAAAGAGTGTCAACATGTTAATGTTTAATTTTCAGACGACTTTATAAATAATTATTTCCCAATATATACAATTATTTCGATGTATTATAATCGTTTTGAGCATTCTTAACGGACCGAAAAATCACATGATATTATTTTTAATATAAATGGAACAGCATAAAATTAACAAAAAGTTATTGTTGCATTTACAGGCATTTGTTTATGTATTCCTTATTTAAAGAAATTTATAAGTGTTGGTTCGTTCAGAAAGTAATTTCGGAAAGTGGATGCGTATAAAGAGAGTCATCATGTTAATTTCTAACTTTCAGACGACTTTATAAATAATTATTTCACAATATAATTTAATTATTTTGATGTAAAATGATCGTTTTGAGCATTTTTCATGGACAGAAAAATCACACAATATTATCTTTTAATATGTAAGGAACAGCTTAAAATTAACAAAAGTTATGTTGGTATTTACTTTGCATATTGTTTATGTATACCTTAATAAAAAAGTTAATCAGTAATGTTCGGACGGTAATGTTTTATCCCAACAGGGGCGAGATCAACACACGCTTTTCACAGCGAATTTTACACTTAAGCCGCATTATTGTATATTTCGACATCTAATATAACAACGCCTGCTAGTGAAAATGTTTGATTGATTCTGTACAGTAGTTTTTGGTTGGTTCCCTTTCAAATAAAGTGAAAAAGCAGTACTTAAGAAATGATTAAGTGAAGTCTGTGATTTTGCTTCTCAAACATAAAGAAAATCATTCATTTTTGAATTGAATCATCTCTAGAGACAGAAAATGGAATGTTTACAATAATGATCCGGTCTCTGCAAAAAGTTTTTCGACGGTAATACCGTTACTTCAAATGAGGTCAAAAATCACTTGGATTAGTTTTTTTCGTCAGTTAAAATAAAGATTTTATGAACTAGGAATTATGCTACTTCTAGAAAGGTGGCAAAAGGTAATGGACCAGAATGGACAATATATTTTTTAATAAAATATATATTCACTATAAGAAAATCGACTTTAATTTTCTTGAAAAAAATAAATTACTTTCCAAACAACCCTATAACATTTATTTATCATCCTTTCTAAAAATCACATTCCCTTAATATTGCGTTCTACATTTTGATCATTATTCATAATTAACAGTTTATAAGTAAAGTGACTATCCAATTATTACATTATAATCCCATAATTTTACCATATTATGCAAAATTTTATGACAAAGATATTTAGTAAGCGTTTTACAATTATTTAGTGGTAAATAAAATATGTTTCCGTTTTTGTAAGTTATATTTACTACAGTAATAAATTATATATAAACTGTGCTTAATGTACGAATGCAGTTAAATATTCTAAAAAAAATAATATTTGAAACTAAGCAATACTAATATGCAGCTTTCCCCAAAATATTTCCAAATAATCTCTTTCGCAAAAACTGTTTAACGAGCTTTTATAGTAATCAAAAATTAAGTTCGAGGACGAATATGCAAGGATTATTGATCGATTTTTTTGTTCGTTTGTTTGTTGTTCATTTACGTCGCACTAGAGCTACACAATGGGCTATTGGCGACGGTCTGGGAAACATCCCTAAGGATGATCCGAAGACATACCATCACAATTTTGATCCTCAGCAGAGGGGATGGCACCCCCGCTTCGGTAGCCCAACGACCTATAGCCAACGATTATTGATCGAAATGATGAAGTTTAAAATTTTTTCTAGTGAAATCGGAAACTTAACATTACTAAATCAATACTGTATAAATACAGTAACAAATTTTGAGATATTTTAATCCAATTATTTTTAATTTGGATGTAACGATCTATTTAAACACCCGGAAATGATTGAGAAGCAATCATGAAGGGTTGATGAGCATCGTACACTTTGTACATCGTACTTTGTACAGCAAGTCTCTTTGTACATCGTAGCCCATTGATAATACCTAATCTATATTATTCAGCAATATTTTTTAATGTTAAATATCATAAAAGTAACAGGAAATATTCTTTTTTGAATACTTTTTGTCAAGTCGAAAACTTTGTAAAATTTTAGGACTATGAAAAATAAAGTTATCTGTGCCAGAGGTTTCCAAATGGTGTTTCGCGGAACTGTAGTGATCCGTGGAAGAATTAAACGGCTTCCGTGAGTTGCAACTTTTTAAAAAAAATATTTTTGAAACCTATAATTGTATTTATATTCAATCAATAATTCATTATTCAATTAATATTTAGGTTGCCTTTACTGTATTATTTAAGATAAAATGCAAATGAAAGAAAAATACCGAATTTTTTTTTGTTGAAAAAATTGCATACATAATTTTAAGTAATTGTATGGAATAAATTATGAAAGCGACATGCATTTATAAGATATTGGATTAGTACTTCTAAACACGTTTTTCGAACTGAAATAAAATAACTAAACTCATGTTTGTGAAAATTGCAATACCATGAAGGACTTGCGCGAGTGAGCTGAAATTTTCAGGAAATGCAAAGTAGAGCATAATATGCAAATGATTAGAATTTCAGACCCGTAGCGCATGCGTATGCTGAGCAGAGCTCTCCGAACGGTCGATGGATCCGAATAAATAGACGGCTGTAGCGAGGCGTTTACGGTTATCGGTGGTTATTTGCTAGTGATAAACGTTAGCTCAGACGTTACTTATGCCTCTTCGACGAAAGAGAGCGAGATTTCAACAACTTACGGAGTTTGAAAGGGGGAGAATCATCGGCCTTCGTGAAGCTGGATTGTCTCATTATGCAGTAGCCGCTCGTGTGCAGCGTAACAGAAGCACAGTGATGCGTGTTTGGAAGCAGTGGACGGACGAGTGTCAGACAACTCGGAAATCCAGGAGTGGACCCCGAAATGTCACGTCAGCTCACGATGATAGACACCTGGTCCGCATGGTGCTGACAGACCGTACGGCTCCCTCTAGACAACTGGCAGCACAGTGGTCAATAGCTAAAGGTGTTTGCTTCATCAATTCGTAGACGTCAACTGCAGCGTGGACTGCGCGCAAGGACTCCTTTATACAGGATCAACATCACGCTAAACCACAGCCGCCTGCGGCTACAATGGGCCAATCAGCATAGGGACTGGCGTGCTGATTGGCAGCGTGTAGTGTTTTCTGACGAATCCCGCTTTAATTTGTAGTACCATGATGGCCGCATTCGTGTCAGACGCTATGCCGGTGAACGCCACCTTCCGGAGTGCATTATCGAAAGCCACAGAGTGGACGAACACCCGGAGTTATGGTCTGGGGTGCCATAGCATATCATTGACGATCTCAATTGCTACGAATTGTGGGTAATCTGAACAACAACTGGTACGTCAGTGAAGTTTTACAGCCCCAAGCTGTTCCCTTTCTTCAAGCCTTGCCAGACGCTGTATTTCAACAAGACAATGCCCACCCTCATGTTGCTAGGACTGTTTAATCCTTCCTTGCATTGCGACAGGTACAACTTCTTCCTTAGCCTGCGTATTCCCCAGATATGTCACCGATTGAACATGTGTGTCATTTCGTTGGTCGGTGCCCTGCTCGTGATCCTCGTCCTGTTGCTTCTACAGACGAACTTTGGGTACGCATACAAACTATATGGAATGCTCTTCCTCAGACAGACATTCAAATTTTGCTTAACTCCATGCCATGTCGTGTAGCAGCGCTTATTGCGGTGCGTGGTACACAAAATACTGATTTCGATCTCTTGTTATTGCTTGTTTGCTTTGAAAGTTTAATCATTTATTTGTACTACTACCACTCAACTGTGTAGTAAATTTCATTCAATTATGACGATTCCTTCATGATGTTGCAATTTTCACAAACAGGAGTTTAGATCTCTAATAAAAAAACATGCTTCTCTATTAGCCATTTTCAACGTTTATAGCAGTTTTGTTTGGTTTACCCTAATTCGACTTATTTTATTGCTTTTCAGCTTTTGTTTACAAACCAAGCACACTGTATAGATTTAACTGCATTATTGTGAATTCAACTGTCTGATATAAAACCTAATTTAAAATTATTAATGATAAAACGATGGAAAAATACGATTCTTCTTATTGACTATTTTCAAAATAAAGCAGTCTTTTATAGGTTAATACGTTCACAATAATTGTTCATCACATACTTTAGTTATAGAGTCCGGTCTTCGTTGAAAGAATGTTGATAATTTAGGGTTCCATAGCCAAAAAAAATTGGGAACTGCTGACCTATGCAGATGTATAATAACAGAGAAAAGTACTAACTCAAATACAAATACTAACTTTTATACAAATATTAACCTTTTATTACTTAATTTTATAGCTATCGATTAAAATAAATTAAATAATAAATAAAATTAAAAATACATCTTATGAACAGACTTCATTGTAGAAAATATGTATTAAAACAGGAAATTTCTTTACTAATTTATAAGTTACAGAGTTATAAACATGTTAACGTATTTGCCATCGATGTAATTACACCGATCATTAGCCTTTGAGCAATTTTGTATTCATGTTTTCCTCATCCATAATCTCGGTTGTAGAATTTGCGGAGAATATCTGCTGCTCTTTCTTCATAAATCCAATTTTGTCTGTGATCTCAACGCAGTTAAATAGAGATTATAATTATTATTAAAAATTCAATTTAATCAAGTTTACTTATAGCGAAATTTCCGAATGCACGCAAAATATTCCGGATCAAATTACGGTTGAAAGAACTGGTACCTTGAGTGTAGCATCCGGAAAATAGATTTTACCGTATAATCCGTTTTTACTGTAGAATATTATACCGTAATATTTATTTAATTAAAGTGATTCTGTGATACTGCAAAAATTACGGCAAATCAGATTTTTTGGTTCATAACATACTCCGGTGAAAATGGGTTTTACGGTAAAAAGTAGGGTACCGATATTTTTACCACAAAATACGGTGCTTTTTACCGTAAATTGATCTGAAATTTTTACAGTGTAAGTATCAAATCAGTTACAGCATACTTTAGGGAGCAGCATCCGTAAAATCCTTTTTTACCATAAAATATTATAACGTAATTTTTACAATTATATTTATTTAATAGGAGTGGTTCAGTAATTTTACTGTAACTACACAGCAAAAATTACGGTGTATCAGATATTTTGTTCCGTAAGATTTTACGGAAAAAAGTACTGGCATCTTGAGTGCAGGTAATTTGATCCTGAATTTTTTATTAAGTCCTTAAAAATAAGTGTAAAACCTTTAAGATGTTTAAATATAAGTTGAATTTAATTCAATATGAAACAAATGAAATACGTCCTCACACTGTCAAGTCTGTAATCATGTAACAGGAAAAAAATATTTACTCTCTGTTCTTTGTTTTGTTCTCTCAATTTAGCTTTTGACATTAAATTTAATTATTATACATTAATTATTAAAATTTAAAATTTATAATTTAAAAACAAGATTAGATCTAGGATTCTCAGCAATTTTTCGTCATTTGTTTAGAAATAAAATTCGTCAATTTTTAGAAATAAAAGAAATCTTAGGTGAAAAATGAACTTTTCCTCAATAAATAAGTAGTTATAGATAATTAAGTAGTTTGTTGTGCAAGAAATTAGATAGTTAAACAGTTCTGGATCACATGCATAGAAAATTTCGAAACTTTCAATACGTACAAAGTACGGTTATTGCACAAATTAAGTAAATTTGGGGTGGAGTTCATCCTTAACTTGTTTTTGTTAGTTAAAATGGTAAAAGGGGCTGAAAAAGGAGAAAATGGCTTATAACATATTAGCAAAAATGTGTTAATATGTAGTTACAAGACAATAAACTGAATTATTCTGCAGAAAATTAAACAACAGCGTTTTAATGATGGAAAAGTTCATTGGTAATTTGCTTTTTAGCTGATATTTCAGACTATTTTTATTCATTAATTTTAATAGTGTATTGTGCTATTAACCATTTGGTGAACCGTCGTCCCTTTTATATTTTTTTCTAATGCTTTAATCAAAAGTAAAAATATATTTTGGTATTTTTTAATTATGAAAAACAGTTTAATAGTTATTAAAAAAATCTGTTAGATAATTTGAATTATATTTGTACTAAAATATAAAATCCAAAAGAAGTAACATTTCATTCCAACTCAAATATTTATCAATAATTGGTTTTGTAAATTAAATGAATTTTAATGGCGAATAACTGCTTCTTTTTTATTTAATTAATGGCAAATAAGTGCAAATTTGAAAAGTTATTATTTGGCAGTTAGCCGTGTTTGGAAGATTTTACCTTTAAAGCAGACAGTGGCACCGGTGTTCTATGCTGCATTTCATAACTATAAATTATTAAACGGTTATACACTTATTTTGACCTAAAGTAATACAAAAAAATATGAAAAATATGCTTAATGAAAATTCTGCTTCAAAGGGTTAAATAATATTCTTATTATATCTTTATTAAATTTTTTAATTTTTAAACAACCGGTAAGAAGCATAAAGGAACATTATCTCCAAAAAGATAGTGTCAACTTATAGTTGCGTGATCAGCGTGAGATATGTTAAAATTAAGCTTTTTGAGATAACAATGTGGGTCACTTTAACAGTGTATCTATTCATCTTTGTTTAATAGTGTATTTAATCATCAAATTAAATTAATTTTGTCAAAAGGTTAATCTATTTATAATTTTTTTCTTATTATAAGCAATTTTAGAAAGTATGGAAAGTTTAGAAAAATTAATGCTTTAAAATATTCTGAATTTTTTTATATACAAAATCTTTATTATTTATGTTACTAGAAATAGATTAATTAACGAATTTTAACAGTTGATTAAGTAACAGTAGATGGAGTACTCAATATTTAAACTTGTTATTCTTATGTTCTAAATATCTATATTATGCTAAGTCATAGTAATAGAGTTTTGTCTTAAAGATTATTAAAATAGCATACATTAAAATTAGTTTATACATCCTTCTACAAGAAGACAAACG